AAATTTAAGGGGGTCTGAATACTTTCCGTACACACTGTATATATGGATTATTTTATCTTTTGCATAATGTGCTCTTTTGAAGACAAATACATACACACTTTATACATGACACAAATACTTAATTGTCTGGTTTAGCTGCTCATTCACACATTTCATAAACGCTCACAGACAAGGAATTTTAAAGAACTCATTAGAATTTATTAAAATTCTACCAGCTTACCAAAAAGGCAAATAACAGAAATATTTAGTTCCATTTTCTCCTTTTAAAACTCTACAATGTTTCTGAGGCCATTGTCCTGCTGCTCTTCCAGCTGTACCTAAAGATCTCAGTCAGTGCATTTCTGATGGAGCAGCAGCTACAAGCCCTTCATAATCCTACAGGAGTTAGTCAAGCGCCTCCTAGTGGTCTAGATGAACCATTAGAGTCGTATTCTATGCGATCGCGGAAGCGTTCCAGTGCATTCCAGTTCTCGTCTCACCAGCTCTCTTCATTCAGTTCTGAAATACTGTCATCACAGACACTGATGGTGAGTTCTGGAAATCCTGAGGTTGTCATCTGTACAACACTCAACTTCGTAAGGTTAGCTTTAAGAGTTCCTCCAGCGACATTAATAATGGACAGTTTTGGATCATAAATCTTGAGTGAATTGTAAGAACCTACAGGAAGAGAAAGAGCTGTAAGACTGTGACGAGCGTTAGACTGGAGTGTTTAAGGCCGATAAGCTACAGTGCTTGCACACATCTCTCCGTTGTCCAATCAGACGGCTTCAAGTCATTTCGGTGTTGTTTTTTTTGTGCGTGTTGAACTGGGCTCATTTAAGTGAGTGCATGAAGCTGTCCAGGTCGTATTCGTTCTCGTACTGCTGTTGGTCCCACAGGTCACCCAGCCCATCCAGAACAGACTTCATATTAGCTTTACCAGACGATGATGACCCTGCTGCCTCGCTCTTCTCTGCTTTATCCTAAACATCAACACAAAGCATTAGTATGAATGTGTGCATCTGTCATTTTATTTTTATAATTCACTTTATCATTATTTTTGTGCAAAACCAGCATTTAGGGCAGCACTGCCTCATTGGAAGGGGTTTCTATGCATGCAACAGTCTGCAAGGACTGACCTTGTCCAGTGTGAAGAGGTTGAGCAGCTGTTCTGTGCCCATGCTCTGTAGACTGGCGTTCTCTTGGCTGATGACTGTATTTGCAATGGTGATCTTAAATTTCTGCAGACCCATGATCTTCTCCTCCAGCGTGCCCCGTGTGATGAGACGATACACATTCACCACACGTTTCTGAAACACACAAACATGCATTCATTTTATGGATGCAAATGGGCTAATGTTCACATATTAGTTTAAATGTTGGCCAAAAATCAGATTTTTCCCTATTTTTGCAATGTGACTTTAGTATAAATAGACTAGTCAGGATGTGATTTTTGTGGAAATATGTCAGTAATGAGTTGAATAAATAAATACTGATGTGGGGACACAAAAAAATAAATAAAGTGCAAAAAAA